TTTTATTCTAAATATGTAACGGAACAGTGCTTGACAATATTACATCTAAACAGACTTTCACTCGCCAGACCCGTGAACTGGTGACTTATTAATCAAAATTGTACAGCCAAACCCGTTATAGTAAAGTATATAGGCAATGAATCAGACTATTGAAGATTTATTAAGAAAAGAATTTGAAATAAAAAGATATATTAATGTTTTAATTTTTATTCCAAATGATATCAGCGTGATATTTACAAATTATATAATAATGTCGCAAAAGTAAAAAAAACTAATAGTAATCAAAAACATTATCATACTAACCGTTCGCTTCGAGTTGACCATCGAAGACCGTTACATAAAGACGTTACAGGCACATTAAATACTATTACAAAATAGTTTTTTCTTCGGCTTAACTTTAAATAGAAAGAAGAGTTTTAGATTTGCTAAAAAAATTAACAAATTTCACAATGGCAAAAGCACTCGATGGCGTTGCTAACGATACTCAGAGGGTCTACCCGGACCTACACTGCGGTGAAGCGGGAGAAATGGGAGCGAACAACTCGAAGCGAACGGCTAGTACTCAGTATCGCATAGCGTGTACAAAGGCACCAATCAAAGTTTCATCATCACATGACACTTGCTTAAACTTGTCTTATATTATATACACAGAAGCACATCAGGCAGCACTACAAACGGCCAAATTGCAATCAGTTTTAGATTTAACTACAGACAGATTAGGGCTTAATGTCGATTACATAATTTTACTTTATGTAGTAACCTGTCGTGCTGTCCACTGTACATATAACATAGCATTGTTAATATATGCTGAGATATTTGTAACATGCAGTATATTTATTTCGAGTTTATTAATATTTGAACGTAGAATGAACGTAGTAATTTGCATGAATACTCAAAAATATTGACGATATCGTTCGTAGCTCAAGAACATTCTCGAAAGATAGCATAAATAATAGCTATCGCGAGTTAAACGGCAAAACAAAAGTTATTTATCCCCATTTAATTAGAAACAGCAATTACACAGTTTAATCTAACTTTTTATGATCCAATTGTAATTCGAAAAAGGGAATTATTTTTTGGTTATAATAAAATACGATAGCAAACCGCGGAATCCTTGAAGTGATAGCCATTACGCTATCTTTCTCACTCTAACAGCTGTTCTGAGCGACAGAAAATGATAAAGCAACGGGAAAGGCGAATGACGCTATCCAGTATAGTCCAAACCTACGTTTGAAGTTTTACTCTCGCTCACACTGTTGTTTTTATTTGTTATAGTATCCGCTAGAGGCGCTAATGTGCAAAATAGCTTTCTTTTATTTAATAAATTTTGATTTAAAATTGTATTAACCATATAGAGGTATATCTGAGATGAATAGATAATATTGAATTACAAAAAATAATATTTTACGATTTTCTCCACTCGGACTAGACATACTACATGTACAATATCTATTTAACTGTGTAAAAAAGTTTTTTTAACAAATCGATCGATCGACGATAAATCCGATCACATACATACAATATATAATCTGCTTTAATATACCGGTAGCATAATACCTCATATGGAATAAAATGTTTATAAAACCTTACATTTTATTAAAAATAATTTATTTAATAAGCATTATATTAATATTTAATTAATAATTTCTCGAATTACAACTACACGACGTCAATAAAAATAAAAAAAATATCTCTTATATTAACATCGGACCTCTTTTTTGTGTACAAAGCTAATAGGAATGATATTATTTTCATTGATAACACGTGATCGTTGTTTTTATAAATAATATTCAGTGTTGTATTTTTACAATTATAATATTAATTAATCGAAAAGCATATTACGGCTGTCCACATTTGGTTTGTAATTATAAACTAGTATTTTTTTTATTTTTTTATTTATAATGGGCTCACTCTTTAGCTCAATCTAACCCATCAAGGACATAAATTAGATTGTTGATTTGTTGTTAGTTTCACCTAAAGAAATTCTAATTTTCACTTATATTATAATGTTTAGAAAACTAATATTTTATATATAGCAAATAATTCTTATTAGAATTTAAAAAAATATCATATAAAATACCTATATATTTACGGGAATTTAAGTTTCGAAAAATTGGTATAGAAATAAACCTTGTATACATACAAATGTGGACGAACCAATCAAATTGTTTATTATACATTTCGGCTTATCCAAAGCCAGCAGTGAAAGATCTCACTAACAATTCTGTAAATAATAAAGGAATTACAATCTTATTCACTAATGTAAATAAATAATACTAATGTACAAACATTGTGGAGATTTGCGAATAGAAACCAGCGCAGAGATAGTGTAGCTAGGACAAGAAAATGTAGCTTTACATATAAAGACAATTTTAGGTTAATAAATTATTGAGAAAATTAAAAAAAAAAGCAAAATTTACGCTGATCAACCTCGGTAGAAAAAGCAGAGTAAAATGTACAAGCAAAAATGACACACAAACTTACACTCTACTGCGATAAGTATAAGGATACCTGCTAAGCCTTTGAACAATGATTGATTCTAATCTGAAGACCAAACCGCCATAGATGTGTTTAATTTGTAAAATTCCCATTGCCCTGTATGGTTTTTACTACTAAACTCTTATCCACATTACCTACTCCGGCTAATGCCTACCGAGGTCTTATCTCCTATTAATATCATATGCACCAAGTACGGTATCGAGTTTTATATACAATACAGATTGGTAGCCACCATAGTCTCAGGCACTGCACACGTCATTTCCTATAGGAAATTTCACATCGTCACATCAAATTATAGTTTTTAAAGTACCTTTTCTATATAATAAATATTCATACAGTATATAATTAAATAGAGAAAAACATTGATTTCAATAAAATAAAATATTATTTCTTTTAACTTAATAAAAAAAAGATGATCTATTTTTTCTTTTTAATTTCTAATAATTATACGCAGTGCCCTCCATTATTCATACAGCCATAATATACTCATTACATAAAACACATTAATATAACCGAACTGATCCTGCTCTTCACAAGACCGAAGTGAAAATAATTACCAGTAAATACTAATATTATGATGTAAAAAAAATATACAAATTAACATATGGCCATTACCGTTGGCAAAAATAATTATGTTAGCGTTAATCTTTAGCGATTTGCCAGCGATATAATATATTAAAGACTTAATAAATAAATATTATTGCATTTTCCTTAAAAAAAAGCGTTGGCTCATATACCCGAAAATATATTAAAAAGTAATATTATCGAAATACTTTTTTCTTACATTTTTCTCGCGCACTACTTATTTGACAAAACCACTTTTGAATCTTATAAAGCGAGTGTATGTCTTAAATTAAAAGAGATATAATTACATTTTTAGATGTTACGGATCTTGTGCAGGCTAGGACAACCTAGAAGATCTAGTATGAACACATGCATAGTATATTGCTTAACATAAATATGAAATTATAATATTGTAAATCGTTGATACGAAAGATTTTTTAAAATACATATTCAAATATATTTGTTATAATTTTCTATAAAATAATGTAGTGGGGTAGTAAGCGACGCACGGGAGTGACAAGAACAAATATTGATAAAATAAAATATAGTCATGCGACTTTTACAGAGAAACTATCTTGAAAAGTCTAAAAATATAACGTATAAAACACGTGCTGCTGAATGGATGACCATTCAAAAGTGGTTAAATTAAATATGATCGATAAATAATCGCATAACTACATAGGCCGTCACGACTCGTGAAATAGTTTCAGTCTAACTGTCACAATCAAATCGTTTCGTGTTGAGCTATGTTCCTAAAAGCGATTTACGCAGTATATGAGAATATGGTAGGAGAATAATTCGCACCGATCCCGCTTCGGTAGCACAATAAGATAATACGGACATTTAAGTGTCGTGACGTATTTTCAAGATTAAACGAATCAGAAACTACAAGGATTAATGCTAATATCACTATAAAAGACACACATAAAAGCAGATTAGCACAAGACTGACTTTACGGCGATACACCGGTGTACTAAATATGTTATCATAAATCAGGGTTTCTCAAAATGCGACAAGCTGACCCCCAGGGGTCAAATGGTAATAAGAAATTTTAAATATGACAGTTGAGTAATCACCATTCTTACGCTTAATCATCAAAAATGATGATAAATTATAAAACCTAAATTAAGAAAAATTGTTCTAAACAATGACCAGCGATCACAAAAAGGCTTTTCTTGACTTATATTAAATAGTATGAATAATTATATAACGTGTTTTAAGAACTTGCAATTTCAAATGGGACAACGATATAATACATAATTGTAAGCGATTAAAAACCCTGCTTTAAATAAACTGCCAACAACTGAATATGAATCAAGATTCGGGTGTCGAGGTACACATTACGTAACTTTTTATTATTTATGTAATTCCAAATACGTTGGGGCAAAAAAATTGAACATTGTAATTTTATGTGTCGGAAATATTTTATAAATTGTTCTCGTATTGTCCAGGAGACTAAAAGGAATCATCGAAATTCGCGATCTCCAATGTGAATATTACCATAAGTCGAGGCCTACTCCAAAAATTTATACCTATAAACGAATACACACTTAAATTTTTGACAAATATTAATTTGTATTGTTTTCTTGTGATTTAAAATAAGCTGTTTTTTAGATGGAACAAAATATATAAGTGACGAATACTATCAGATTACCTTATATATTTCAGAGTATGTCATGAAAGAGCGAGAGATCATCGCATGTAGAGTTTTAAAACCCAAATTGTTTTTAAAACCAAAATCGCTTCTCAAACGAATGTTAATAATGGCTGCTTGCATAAAAGCCGTTCGACAGCTTGCATCACAATCGTCCCAAACATAAACTTGCGTGTGAATTTTTTTACATAGCCTCAACGGAACTGATAAGAAATACTCACAAGACTTACAAATTTATGAAACACTTATACTTAAGTAGAACCGGAAAGCGTTCGTTTCTTCCTGGAGAGGCAATCCACTGAGTTTCACGTTGGAGGTAGACTTGATATGCTCATGCAGAAAAGAACAGAAGAGGCGGAATCTTCAACGATGCTTCAACCAAAAGCTTGCAAAAATCGACGGCGTGTAAAATGTGAGGTGATAAAGGCGGGAGTGGGGGCTGGATGTGTGGTGGGGGAATGGTATATTAGCAGGCGCAGCTCGAGTCTGGTTCCTTGTTGTCTCCTGGCGCTTGTCGCAGAATCACCTCGTGCACTGCGACCGAGATATTAAGGAAACGAACAGTCATAAGGTGATCTAATCGAAAGGTTCTAATACTTTCAGTCTGTTTTGATTTAAAACAATGCGTGCAAACTACGACGCGGTCAGTGGTGATACTTTTAGGTGAAACGCCACGGTTGTTTTATTTATAGCGCTAATAGTTGGGAGCTAGTGCTGCGATCTGATATTTGATTTTTCTTCGAATAAGATATTTATTCTTTTTTACTGATATAAAATAATATGAAGAATTTAATTAACACAAATTTATCATCATCATAATCTGTAATAAATCATATACATATTTGAAAACAGTTGCGAGTTTAGATGTTTTGATTCAGAAAAAAAAACAAATAGCAATACCAAGAACGAATGTCACATTTCTATGGGTAATGCCGCTTTAAACTAATGAAAAATTTAATGGACGTTTATGCAACTGGCTGTAAAACAACCTGGTAATGTTTCATCTTGTAGTCACTAACAGATTAATGTTCAGTGGTAGAGAAAATACTCTCGTTTCAATCTGATATATATCGAATTCACCTGATAAACGGCATTGAGATATAAGACAGAAAATATTAGACTTACAAGTATACACAGAATATAAAGCGTACAATAAATAAATTGTTAAAAAGCCAAATAAATATTAATCGGATTACGTAACGTAGCTGTTTACATACAACGTAATGTGAAGTTTATGTTAAAAGCAGACAGAATTACACAACAACACCAACGACAAATTTGTGTATCGGTTAACTCATAACATAAAGTAACAAGATTTTTAGCAAATGAAATTAAAAGATTCAAACAATTAAAAGATTCAAACAATTAAAAGATTCAAACAAATACACAAACTGCCTTCACAACTACGACACAAGCGGGCGCAACGCAGCAGTTAGAACATTTCAAAAAATCAGTTAAGGATTATCGAAGTGAATCGATTGACTATTTTCTTCAGACAAGAGTTATTTTTACGTCGTATTAAACAGAAAAAGTAAACTTTAATTATGTCGTTTTTGCTAATGTAATTATCAGTCAAGCCCTAACCCTATACCGCAGAGTATTTTTTGCGTGGAATAGAAAGGTCGATACAGCGCCATCTATCTGCTGCGTAGCGTACTAGCAAACGGTCTCGGAAGCGCACATTAGTAATGTAACGTTACTTACTACCAATCACACACCGCCACCTCCCTCCACGATACCTACACCACTCCCCCAGTTCCCTGTTACCGACTTCGCCGTAACACTACTACGGTACATTACAATATTTTCGAATCCGTCACTGTTCATCCTTTAAATGCCACTAGATGCCGCTAGCCTGTGATAACATTTAAAACTTTCATAAACTTAATTAGCTCTTTACTTTGATAGACAGCAATAATTATACGATTAATCAACTACATCGCCGGAATCCCTTATGAGTTTTTCGATATGGAAAACACGAACCAGGCTTTAATATCAAAGGTATATTTAGCTAAAAAATTGGTACACATTATAAATTAAGTTGTATTGTCTTAATCATTCATCCCTTAATAAAGAGTCAATAAACTCTTTAAAATATTCGGCTTTTACGAATACGCGAACCACAAATAGTTCACGTTAGATAACTTAAGCTTTTCTTTTACTCCCAGATCAGTAGCGAACTAGCGACATCTCGTTAAAAAGAACTCGCATGATATTTAATTTACACTAGAATTGGATCAGACGCATATGAACCGTATCAAATGCAATTATTACAATACACGAACAATCGCACAAATCGGATAATTTTTTAACGTACAAAAACTAGCGACTACGTTGAGCGTGTTAATAAAACATGTGACGTCATAAAACGTGACGTGCGTACACGTACCGTAGGTACCACAGTCGACATATAACAAACGTGCTAAAGCATCCGGCTACGATGATTATAATATAGATAAGCCAAAAATTTTACTAAGAAAGTGTAATAACTAATATTCAATTCTATGAATCGGTATTTTATCACAAGGTTTGTCAAACTGAGTTGTGCAAACCAATTGACCATAATTTACAATGGAAAAAAAAGTAACAAACAATTTGCTCAAGTGCTGTATCCACAGAAATAAAAGATCAAAGATTCGCAATAATTATATTTTAATTTGAATGAAGTTTGATAAAACGGCATTACCATTATTCTTTACCTATACATAAAATAATTTTGATATTACATTGCAAGTTGGGGTGTAGAGATCTAAAGTTTAAGAAGCTCTGTTTTGGGATAATTTTAAATTATTTACATATATCATCTAAATCTAAAGTAAACGTACACTTTTTAAAACTTGTATTTACCATTATTTTCACTAAACTAAGTATGTATATATACTCAATTGATGACCTACAATGTATTTTCCCTTGACACCAAAGTAGCCGGTTACTTTATCAGAGGAATTTATAAGATCTTTTTAATTTTAAAAGTAAATATACAAGACACCTCTAAATATTCTATCTCTATTTAGATCTGTTATAATAAGAGATCGCACGTATCTCGACAGTGGTAATTTGTATATGTGCATGTTAATGATATGCGTGTTAACTATGTGTTACGTTGTGTTTCATCAAAATATTTCGCTTAATACTCCAAGCTCGCCATAAATGAAAAAGCTTAATGCTATAATAATATATTTGTGTAAAATACACAAGTGATTTAAAGTTTCATTATTATAATAATAATTATTAATAATAATATATTAAATTTGTTATCTTTAAAATATTTTTAAATAAAACTCTGAGGAACCCTCGGCTCTACCGCGTAACTGAAGTCTCCAATTGAATTATCAAAATAAAGTAATAAATATGTCAGTCTAAGAGATCAACCGTCAGCAGGTTAATAAGATTGCTGTAGGATTGGACATTAATCGTAGTTTTTCTGCCGATAGTTAATCTTTCAACGTGATAGATCAATCATGATTTCAGTAACGCAGTAAAGGCGTAGGAAACACTTCGTTTTTAAATTCAAACCGTGTGTTTTTGGTTATAAGATTCAAAATCGAAAACGCCTGTTAGAAACAAGTTATAATCCGAACGGTTATGCCACTTGGACGGTTAAGACACAAAATATTAATACTGTTCTAGATATTAGTAACAAAGAGTCACAGTGGATTAGCGACCGTTTCTATACTTGTGTGGCGTCATCTAATTAGAGCACACAAAGACTGTATTGGAATGTCATAAAAGAGTTGGGTCTTGTTAATATTGCGAAATGAGCTTTCTGATACGGTTTTTAACGATCGTACACTGCCATCTAGCGGTGAGGGTGAGTATGTAATATATATTTGTAAAAGGATACTGTCTTCGGGTGGCTTGCTCTCAGCAGAATCCATACCGGGCAGCGCAGCGGCCACTCGCCGGAACAACTGGAAATATTCATGTCAATATTATACATCGCTGTCTTTCATCCAAGATTGAACGACCGAATACATATAAATAAATAAGTAACACCAATACATCCCAATTTAACTTGCTTTAGTCCTTGTATTATGGAACTTTGAAACAACGAAGGTACCTCAACAACCAGACTCGAAACAGTTTTGTAAAGTTCGCTTTCTATATTTAACAGACCTGATATGATTGATTTCATACCCAGAACCTCAGATATGGTAGCACCTTAAACCGACATGCGAGGCAGTCACTGCTGTGGAGATTCATATATATGTATAGCATGAATATAATATGGACATATTATACATTCATGCTATAGGCATTTACACTGTCTTAGTGACAAGTAAAATTAAAAATTTTAAAAGCCTTAAAATATATATATCTAATAGTTAATATGGTCATTTTATGATGGAACAGCAAACAAGAGCGATTAAAGGTAAATTAATTTATTTTAGATTAATAACACTTAGATTTAGATGTTAGTCGTCCTTTAATAATAAGCATTGCTACCTTCAAACGAAACCTATCGGACACATTCAGAATACAAAAAAACTATAATGTGTCCAATATGTATTGTTTAAACCATCAAAAAATACTTATTGGACACAGCCATCTAGGCTCAGGCTGTCAGCTGTTATCATGTGGGAGATAACTGACCTGTTTAACGTTGTATCCAGCCTTGGCGCTGGTCTCTATGAACATCACGTTGAGCTCCTTCGCCTTCCGGTCGCCGTCCTCGGTGGACACCTGCCGCTTGTCCGAGAGGTCAGTCTTGTTGCCCACCAGCATGATGATCACGTCCGAGCCGCGCTCCGTGCGCACGTCGTCGATCCACTTCGACGTCTGGTGGAACGAGTTTGCATCTGAAGAAGAAAATTCATTCATCATCAACATCAGCTATTCGTTTTCCCACTTCTGGAAAGCCTTCGCTATGATAGAATAGAAACGTGAGGAGAATTGGCGTCTTAACCCACTGTGAATTTTGAGAAGACACATAGAAACATGCTTCAATCATGTCCTTGTTTGATGAGCCGTGTTTATAATAGAAAGGTGCATTTCCCCTGCGTTATAAAAAAGAGTTTTTAGTGTAAACCTACCTTTATGTTCATAAAATATATTATAAATAATGAAGTGTAGTAATTATTGAAAATAGCATGTTAAAGAATATTTTAAATTTTATGTAAATGTAATAAGATGACCGCTATAAAACACAAAAATCGAAAATCCTAACAACAATTAGTAATAAAAAAAATGTGAATAATGTCAATAAATAAGCCGATATTAATACAAATTTACGATTGTTTAATTCGGCCGTAGTAAAGACATTTTAATCCTTAACATGATCAATATAAAAAATATATACATTCATACTATCAAAAAACAAATTTGCGTATTAATTTCGTTCGTTGATTTTATAAGCAATTACTCGCATTATCGCCGTATCTAAAGCGATAACGTTCAATAATAAAACGTGTCCACTGTTTTGGAAGAGACGCGACAAAGACCCATTATCATATTTTTAAATTTCGAATAGGTTTCTTTTTCAATGTCCTGAACTTCTCCTAAAGTAGTAGTCCTGTACACGTAGAATGACGAACTCGAGAAAGTTAAGAAAAACTCGACTCGTAGAGACTAGTTTCAGTCTCTCTCGCTTCTAGAGATCCTCATGTTGTGTGGGCAGGGACATATGTATAAATGATGTATGGGGAAATGCTGCTGAAATACAGAGTGTGCTCAAACAACAAAAAAGGGCAATAAGAACTATAAATAACGTAAGTAAGCGTACATCAGCGTATTTTAAGAAAGACAGAATAATGACCGTTGTTTCCTTATATATATATATAATAGCTTGTTGGAAATCCATGTAGAGAAGGAAAATTTTGCAAGAAAAGGTGATTCTCATCGATATAATCTACGTAATAATGAAAAGTTACGTCATCCAAAGGTAAAACTAAAAAAAGTTCAAAAACAGGGTATTTATCTAAAAATAATAATGTATAACAAATTACCTTTAAGTATTACAAACAAAAACCACAGTAGCTTTAAAAGTATTCTGAAATCTTTTTTTGAGCAAAATCCTCTCTATTCCTTGAATGAATTTTTGACGATGCGTATAAGCGAATCTACTTTTATGACATGATGTAATTAGATACTGTAAGTTTTATTTTTTCTCTTGAGATTAAGATTTAATTGAACTATAAATTGTGAACTGACATACCTTGTATAACAATATTGTTATAAATGGCTAATAAATAAATTGAAATTGAAATTGAAATGATTTTTGCCAACTAATCACTACATATTATAAAACAAAGTCGCATTCTCTGTCCCTATATCCGTATGTATGCTTAAATCTTTAAAACTACGCAACGGATTTTGATGCGTTTTTTTCATAGATAGGGTGATTCAAAAGGAAGGTTTTTATGTATATTACAAGACCACGCGGGCGAAGCCATTGGAAAGCCAGTTGCAAATAAACGCCTAATTTATTCCCAAACACATCTCGACAATAATAAAAGTATATGCGCTCTAAAATGACCGAAACGAATCGAGAGAAAATGTCGTTTGATTAAACATTGTAACGACTTCTACTATGTATCGATCTGACGTAAACGGAAGAATTTTATGTACCGCTTCGGTAGGCTTGGAGAAATCTTGTATTACTTGGAAACTCCTTGGTTTTATTCCCTTTGAGTTTTCAACAAGATTTGAGTGAATCATAAGACATTTTGAAGAATTTATAAACCTGCACCTGCACAAATGAAATCCATTGCCTTCTTTAGGACAGACATGAGCCTTATAAATATATAGTAGGTGTTAATAAAAAATACTCATTCAAACTCAAAGCTTCATTATGCCCAATCACATTTTGCACGAAAATAAGACCTCAATAGTCTAGAATCTAGGGTGACACGTGTAAAGAAAATATTTGGTCAAGTCTGTGACGGAGGTCATTCGCCAACACAAACAGATCAAACCAGTGACAAACTAAGGTTGGACTCACTAAACGAATCAACGAAAATCATACTCCCAAATATATAGCTACATACACAAACAAAATAATCCGAACTATATAAAAAAAATGTTGTCCATTTTTAAAGATTACAATAAAATTATATGATTAATAAAATGTCAAATAAAATGTAACGATATGTGTAATCTTATTTAAGAGTGCGCATAAAGCTTTTTATAGCTAAGTCGCACGGTCAGTCACTATGATGACATATAAATATTTTAAAGGACTATTTTAAAGGATTTTAAAGAAAGAAAGAAGCGAAAACCATTACGATTGTCTATAACAATTGTATAAAAATAAAATGAAAAACAAATAATGAACATCGTCGGATTTTAAAGTTGCGATGTATTTTTCATCGAGATTAATAGCTTCTCGGCATCGGCTTCGCCCGCGTGATACTGTATTATACATTCAAACCTTCCACTTGAATCACCCTGTATATCAGTGATTCCCTAAGTTCCCTAAGTGGTCTAGGGACACCCAAGGGTCCACAAAGGCTTCAACGGGGGTCTACTATAAAAATAGAGGCTTAATTTCCAACGTTAGATCTTCACATTTTGGACGAACTTTGGGAATATGGCAGCAGGGGGTCCACCGAAACCAGTAATTTTTTTAAAATGGTCTACGATAAAAAATTGTTTGGGAACCTCTGCTGTGTATTGATAAAAACCGCATTCAATTCTGTTGGTAATTTAAAAGATCTCAAATATGGTACTCGATTATGCATTCAATGTCTTTATATCATTTGTTGAAGTTACAACTTTAATTTAATTACGTTTATTGTATCAGCTGCGAAATGTCGCTTGAATGCGAATTCTTCATTACCATATTTATATAAAATACCCGTTTCGGAGGCAGGTATATATATTACACAAGTATCATTTATGATCCTAATTGATTCGACATGAAACAAAGTACATGGACGTCTATATAAAAAATTAGCTTTTGCCCGCGACTTCGTCCGCGTGATAATGTTACTCTGAGCAGCATTTCTAACGAATATTTATTCATTATATCGTGTAAAATATCTGAAATAAAGTTTCGTTTTTTATCCCCTTAGGGGTGGAATTTATCAATTTTTTTCTTAGGAGATGCCTACGTCATAGTAACTTTATGCATGCAAATCTCAGCCCGATAGATTTAGAATTGACAAAGTTTCATACAAACTTTCATCCCCTAATTTGATCCTCTTAGGGGTAGAATTGATCAAAATCCTTTCTAAGGGGATGCCTACGTCATAGTAGCTTTATGCATGCAAAGTCTCAGCCCAATCGGTTTAAAATTAACAAGGTTTCATACAAACTTTCATCCCCTATTTTATCCCCTTGGGGGTATAATTGATCAAAATCCTTTTTTAGCGGATTCCCATGTCATAACATCTACCTGCATGCCAAATTTCAGCCCGATCCATCCAGTGGTTTGGGCTGTGCGTTGATAGATCACTATGTCAGTCTGTCACCTTTGAGTTATATATATTTAGATGCCTTGCCTGGTATCAACCATTTTTTATCTAATCCAATAAAAAGAGGTACCCCGCAATACAATTTGGTAGTACTTTAGGAGGTTTAACTTGAAGTTGCACCTTTAAATCGATGTAAATCGGATGAATAAAATCGCTAAAAAAATAAATTGCACAAAATTAACAACTGCGCATAATCGCTACCGGTTTTAATGACCAATTAATATGTTTCATTTAATTTATGACGTACAAATACAGCTAGTTAGCTAATAAATGGTTAAGAGCGCTAATGAGTTTGAATATTGACGCGCAAATAGCTTTTTAGATGTATTCGCTTGCGTTTTTTATAGGTAGCTGTTAAAATAGTAATTAAAGTGTTCACTTCAAACAACTAATATACGAGTAGATTTATGAAATATATTGACAAATATAACATTCTTTCAATGTCATAACATCTTTCATTATGGACGCTAATATATAATGTTTGTAATTATAAACCGAAGCATCGTAAATAATAATATTGCGACCCCATCGCTATGCAATCAACAAGGATGTATATAATTTGAACTTTATCAGTTTGACACCTGCTGAGATAACCAGTGGTCGATTACTTTTAAGTATCCACTAGCTGTTCCCGTGACCTCGTCTGTGTGAATTATAGGTATAGCCTTTAGGGCCCGTGTGAAGTAGCTTTGTAGGAGAAAGACTTTTCATTGGATCTGATCAGTATTTCCGAAGATTACAAACAAACAAACGAACCTCTTTAAAACATAAGTATGGATATCCAAGTAACTACGTAGCGACCTCTGTTGAAACGACTTATATTTCATGTTTTGTTGCTCCTAAATCTTTCAAGAAAAGTAAAGAATTTGCGACGGACGGTATCGAAAAATAAACTGGACCAACTTTGCATTAAAACTATTAACTATTTACCTATATGATAAAGGTTTCATAAATATGAGTGTATTTCTTTGTTCCGACTTTTTCAATACAAAACAAAGAGAGGGATTAATATATTTTACTGTACAACGTTAGTGGGAAGGCTCAAGGGTGACACAGGATAATGTTTGCCTTGCCTAAACGGTTCCCGCTCGACAAAAATTCGGTATTAAAATTCCCGGTCCATAAACCCACATATCCCATTCCGAAGGGATCACAGCTTCGAAGTTTTTGCAGGCGAATTCACGAGCGTAAGCAAGTTTTAAATACAGAATTCAGTATATACTGCATTGTCTATAGTTAACCATTTGGAGTTTCATAACGTCGTTACAGTTTCAGACGCAGTATCGACTTTCACTAGTGCTTTTTTTTATTTGTCGCCGTCCGCTTCTTTTGTATTCATTTACCACACTTCAGTCAGTTTCGATCAAAGAAAATTTTATAAAATGCTGGGTCCTAACCTTACCCATGATTTCGTTTAGAAAGCGGTCGATGGGGACCCCTTGGGAGCGAAATCAGTTTTGTTGGGAGTCAAGCGACCCTCATTAATAGTAACACAAGTTCTTAATTGAAACTTTCAAAAATTCATATAAGTTGTGTTAAGTGGATTTTTTAAGCATTTTTCATTAATAATATTTTTTGTATATAATTGTAAATGCGAAGTTGAGCAAATATAATAATTAGAACAAGTTTTCATCTTTATCGAAAATTTTAATATTTGTGAAAATATTTCTTTCGTCTGTTTGGGTGCATTGCCTGAACATTGATGAAAATACGCTCTGTCGTAGCGAAAAAAGAAACAAGTACTTGAAAAATTCGCCAGTCCTGTTAGGTCCTGGGTAGCTCTGTGGTAAGCAATAGCCTCTTTCAAGGAGAAATTTAAGGAAATAGACATAATGACTGTTGTTTCTCAATACATACACGAAAACTTAATGTACGTTCGTAAAAATTTTTGTTTGTTTTCTATAAAAAATGATGTACACAATTTTAATACAAGAAATAAAAATAAATTAACGGTGCCTATCATTAGACTGCAATAAGTTAATAACTCAATCTTTGTAAGCTTCTACATTAAGGTCCCAAGCAAAATACAACATTTAGATATCATGCAGTTTAAATCTACTATAAAAAATACTTATTTATATAATAAAAAGTTTATTATAAGGTACTACTATAAGGTACTTATATATAAAAAAAACTTATTATAAGGCACCTATATATATTACAGATAAGAATGCTTGGACTTAAGATGGTCCAGCGACTGGAAAGGTGATTTCTTCTATACTCATTATATCTCTAAAATTATCTTGTTTCCATAATTATTAAATTATTAAGTTATCATTATCATTTAAGACCACACGTTTATTTCTCTTTATTAATAATGAATTAATCTGGTAATGACATGGTTTTTGTGAATGTCATTACTCCTATTAGAGCTCATGAGTTTCTTGCTCGTTCTTCTTATCAGCCAAAAGACGTCCTGAACGAGCGGTAGGGAAAACAATATTGCACGATTCCAAAGTACTTTTAAGAAGTCTATTTGAATAAAGATTATTTTGATTTTGACTTTGTCCGGATTGTGAAAGGTCAAGGGTTCGTGTCCCATCTCAACTAGAGATAAATTTTAAATTAATTTGTCTATGTGTGTTTATAGTATCAAAATATTGAGAATCCCTGGTCTACTCAGTATGTGAGTGGTTATAAACGTTCATAAGGGGTAGTACGTAAAAAATGTCGATATTCGATTTAAAGTGCTTACATTAAAGAAATTTGTTTTTTGAATTCCACTAGTAATCAGGTAAAGAAGCAAAATAAGGAGTTCTCTGCCGAATCATTTGGAGATAAGCGTGTTTATTCTGTAATAACCATAAAACCTATGCTATATCATTCATTAAGACCATTATTGCTCCGTTTCACTACTGTAGCTCTATTTTTCAAACACCCGTCTCGCATCAAGACTATTCCTTTTCATCAGACATTAATAACCATTACTTTTGATTTGACTCGAGGGGGACTGACGAGTGGCATCAAAAACACGCCGCCAGAAGAGTCGAGGTGAGTTATCACCACGATCGAGTTCTATAGAATGTCCACGTCATAATTTCAATTTTCTTAATAAAGCCTTATACCTTTCCAATCAGACTTTCTGCCAATGTCTCCTAGTACAAGAGACTTGATATTTGTGAGATTGCTCAAAACAACTAAGTAAGTACTCTTTTACGAATATCTGCCAGATTTTTTTTCTATTACTTGCAAAGCAAAATATACTTTCCAAACTCAAAAATTTCGAATTCATTGCGCGTGGCCGTAATAAAATTAAATACAGAAAAATATTTTGCGATATAGCAATTCAGTATAAATATTCGTATAAGGCACGGTACAAGTCATTCAAAAATTTATTCCAAATAAGGTTTTCTTTGTTTCTCCGAAAACGAAATTTCATATTAATTCATAATACAATTTAATGCAACGAAGTTATATATGATATTGCTGCCGAGAAGCACACAATCCATAAAGAAATGCTTTTACCAAGACAACAGGAACATTCCGAGGTTACGCGAAATTTCGTTTTCAGAGGAACCAAAGAGGCTTCCAGACAAGGGTTAATGCAAAATCAAGATCTAGAACATTATCACTATAATCCAGCGTGGATTAGTGTGACTACTATACTATAAACATGTCATCACACGCTAAAGTAATTAACTAAACAGAAAAGAGCTCTAGATAAAATCGATAAGCACCGGTCCAACCTTCAATCTTTTCCAACATTCATTTAAGGAATACTCCGAACAAAGAGTATAGTCGCCACAGAGCATGGTATTTAATTTATGAGTCCTTATCATGTCTGTTTTAACCTGCTTCCTTTTTATGATGACGAAAACTTCAGGCCATTCGTTATCACGATTATCAACAGGTGAGGCGGGTTAAGAACAATGGATATCTCATTACGCGTTGCACTCGGTATCATGTAACGTGTTACTAGTGCCGTGACCTTCGCGAGTGGCAACGAGGCCGTTGGCACACTTTCAGCTCTTCAGCCGTTCGTATGCAACCCAATCATGCTGTAACTGGCCGCATTGTATCTTTTGCCTTCCATATAAGAAACTTTTCAACTCTTGTCATTCTCGTTTTTAAATTTAGAATTAATTTCGTTTTTAACAGACTTCAAAATCCAAAAGGAGGAGGTTATATGTTCGAAAGGCGGTGTATGTCTTTTTTTATGTATGTTGACCGATTTTAAATGTTTTATTCGACAGCCTAATTGATTGAGGTGGTTATTTAATAAAAAAATTAACGCAAATGAATCAGTAGTATGAAATAAAAAAAAAGTGATAAATAATACTCGTAAGCGACTTATTCAAGAAATGCTATTGAATGCTATTGATAGGCGTCCGTATCAATTAAACCTACAGAAAACCTCATTCCAACTTCAATAGCATTTTCTTGAATAAATCTATTTTGATAAGTATTATTTATCACTGTTTTAAAGTTTGAAGTCGGTTCTATTTTTAAAATTTTTTCATTACATTATGTATTTCTAAAAGACTCACAATCTGAGCTAAGCTATAGTACCTATAAAGCTTCGTTTTTGTTTAAATGAAACTTGTCATTATTTTATGAACTCCGCGTAATCTTATCAGTAAATAAAGCTGCAGTTATTAAAATCGTAAAAAAATAACAATATCAGATAAAAATAGTTAACTACGCATATTCATAGTTTATTGTTTTACCTAAGACTTATCCGATATCCATGATTTTCCAAAAATTACATTTTACCATATCCGCATGAAAAGACGCAGTTTGATTGATAAAAACGTTTATAAATATGAAAAAAAAAAACTTCTATATCGTGAAGTTACTTCATGAATGAATAATATTGAAAGCTCAGGCCATCGGCCCCTCACCGGAGTGTAAGACCTGCTTTCATCAAGAATTCAGCCGGGGCATATACGTCTGCTTCCATACGAAAAACATGTGGACTTATATTTTCAATAAGGTCAAAGAGGTCGCAAGGTAATATTTAAAATTTCAAACGATGTTTACTTTATTCATTTAAATATAAAATGTGGGCGAGGTATGGAGGACCGCAATACTATGTCGCTTAAGCAATAGTTCTTGGAATCACAATTTTACACTCACCGCATATCTGCTGGTGCAATTACATCATCGATGTGTTAAATGCTTTTTGACAGGGATTTCTATGCACAAAAATGATATTTTCAATTTCAAATACCTATACCCATTCCCAGTTGATTAGGAAACGAGCATGAACGCCATACGAGGCTGGACTGAGTCAATGGTAATATTAATGCAAACAATAATTAAAAGGATAAACGAAGACATAGATTTTTTATAATATTAACAATTAATATGGATAATTAACTCACTGGTAATGTCGTAGACTACAACAGCGACAGTAGAGTCTCGTATGTAGGAGGGGATCAGAGAGCGGAACCTCTCCTGACCGGCCGTGTCCCACAGCTGCAGGCGCACCGTGCGGTCTTCCAGGTACATGGTCTTCGACAGGAAGTCAATGCCGATTGTTGCCTGTAAATCCACACAACACTTTCATCATACAAGTTTTTAGTATCTCTATTATTAGAGCACAGCTTTTCCCAATAGTTTGAGTATTATTGTCCACCTAAGACCAACTCTGCGATTCTGCAAAAATCCAAACGCGAATTCGAATTCACTCATGTGTCCTTATTCACTTCAGAAAGCGGTATCTCTCAATCTTGGATTGGTAATAACGTTTCTCGGCATTAGTGGAGTGAGTTTCGAAATGACAGGAATAGAATATATGAGACACGTATATTCAATAAATTTTATTTTATACTAGCTGACCTGGCGAACTTCGTACCGCCATATTTTATTTCTCTAATCGCAACTGAGGAAATAAAACCGTTCCGGTAAAATAAACACTTGCTTAAGAAACAGTTAATTAGTACATTTTATTTGTTTACATTCACGACATAAGCGAATAATTGAGATGATAACTATCCTATCGAGTAAGTTAGACCAAAATACGGGTACATGCGAAATTTGATTGAAATCGGTTCAGTAATTTTGGAGTTTATTGGCAACATACATCGTGACACAAAATTTGTATATATATAAGATTTTTAAATAAAAAATGGAATCAATAGAATTCGGACTCATGAGTGAATTCGAATTCGCGTTTGGATTCTGAATCGCAGGGCTGGTTGTTGATGTACTTACGTATAGAACTCGTGACACCTAATAAAGGCTGTTTTATCTGTCTTAATCAGTAGAAATAGCGAGTTTTACGAAAATTGGTTTTTAAAGTTTTTCGGATTACACGAAAACGACTTAACAATGACGATTTAACACAAAACAAACATTTCCGAATAATTCGTAATAAAAGAAAAAAAAACTAATATTAATATAAAACATATCCTATATTGGCGTTACTTACAAGAAATATTGGCAAGGTCTCTAAAGTAAGGTTCAGTCGTTCCCTAGTGAGCTAAAGATCCCAATTTATGACCACGATAGAGCCGTGTTGCGGCATTTTGGGATCACCTGTTTTGAAGCATACACACAAGTTTTTTCGGTGTCAGACCTTTTTAACGAAATCGCACATAGAAACACAATGCCTACGTAAACTGAGTGCAAACATCGATTCTCATTTATATAACTTTTTATTTAATTTAGCTTTAGAACTGCGTTTAAAGTAAAGAAAATGTAATAATTCTGCTACAGCCTCTTTGTCTGAATCGTACTCACCGAAAGTGAGAAGGTGGACAAGGGATCCTCGGGCTACAGGGAGCCCCTAATGTGTGTAAACAAACAATTACAGTTTTCTCCTATTATAATACAAATATTGAATATATCAACTATATGACATCAACATATGATATCAACATAATGACAGTGATATCTCTTTTTATTTATAAGTCTCTTCTGGAAGTGCATTGTCAGAAAGACACACTATCTAAGAAAAAGGACTATCACCGGTATAACACGCGGAACAAGGAGAAATTACATATGCAGGTGACTAAACTAAAAAAGGTCCAAACACAAGGATTCAACTTAAAAATTTATATGTACAACAAGCTGCCTATAAATATTACCGAGTTACCATTAAAAAAATTTAAAATTGTGATAAAATTATTTTTTGAATCTAATCCATTTTATAAAGTAAATGATTTTTTGACAAAGACCTGGAAAGATTGTAATTTTAATTTGTAGTTTTAATTTGTTATTTTAATTTGTAATAAAAATGTAGTTAATTAATCAAATTATTAATTTATATAATTATTTGCAACTTAATTTTGAGAATGACGAATTATTTTATAATGATACTAATTGCATATATAATTATATTATGTAAGCTGTAACAATTTATAGTATTGTGAAATTCTGACATGCCAAATGTGACATACATGTCATAACATGGCCAATTTATAATAAATAAAAAAAAAAAAAAATAAATAAATAAAATATGCTGTTGCTGCAGTGCAGTTGCTGCAGGCAGCCTTAGTATTATACATATATTTATTACTACACATGAATACTTAATAAATAAGCTGAATTTAAGCTTAACCTTAGAATTTAAAATGTGGAAGTTAACATTTAAAATTATGATATAGTACATAGTATACATGTGAAAATTCCACATTCCTAAGTTACAGAAGTGGTTGTCAATTTCTCAATCCATAAGGTTTATGCAATATAAATATTTCAAAGCCTTATGACTTTGCAGCCAAATGGTTTACTTGCGTAAACATTTTATTAGTTTCAGGCCAAAATCCCAACTAGATTGAGATTGCCAACTCTAACTTTCAAAAACAAGGAACTAAAATCGGAAAGGTGATTATAATTTAGTTTAAAAACAGGTTGCATCTTATAGCTAAATTAATTTTAAATAATAGATATGAAAATGACCAAATTATTTAAATAAAAATATTCAATGAATAATATATAAAAAAAATATATCTCCCTCCCAGGGAGATATATTTTTTTTTCATCAGCAGATACTTTTTAATAATGTAGGGGAAATACACTTTAAGCCTTCTATTGATGGATAAATAAAACTTACAATTAAGCACATATATTTAAAACTAAGCCAATTTATTATTATTAGGAAGATGAACAGAGTATAATGGCTGTTTTTATATTATTTATTATTTTAATTTTATTCAGTCATCACCTAGAATTCAAGTTCATTTCTGTTACCTTTATATTTAGATTGCTATCTTTTCTAATACTCAGAAAAATTAGAATCACTAATTTTATGGTGAACTAAATACAACACTGTTTAAAATATTATAGGTAATTCAATAATTAAAATGTTATAAAAAACAGTGTTGTATTTAATCATATAAAATATAAATAAAAACAAGAAATGTAATATGTCCTTTATGATAATTATGTTTAATAAAGAGAAATCATGCATATTTCATTTTAACATATCAATTTAGTTTTAATTCTTGGTTATACTTTAATTAGATAATTCTTAATTATTAAACTAATTCTTAATAATAAAGGAAATAATTTATTGTATTTGATATATGATTCAGTAATAAATTATTGAAGAGTCTTTTTAGTCCACTTGAAAATTGAACAATTGAAGATTTTTGTCCACGAAAGCTTTAAACCTAAACCTAAGTGTAAAACAATGGAAAATGCACTTTTGAGTGCAAATATTTATCAGTAATTGTAGTAAAGACACAATTTTTATTTAATTCAAATTCAATCATTTTGTTAAAATTAAAAACAAACATTTACAAAGTTTATGGGATGGAACTTAGATTACTGTTTGTTTTTTATCAAAAATCACTATTAAATTTTATCAACTTCTTTAGGTAATATTTTCTTATTACCTATTGAAACATAAGTAAAAGATTTATGTACATTCAATTGTTTCTTATAAACAATTCAAAAAGTGTACTGAATTTCATTGCAATTTATACTCTATGTCATGAACAGGGTACTATTTTATTTTCTACCATCTACTTCATACTGCTAAACCTGTGACTCACCTGATAAGTGTTGTCAAAACTATCATACATGAATCTAGTGATGAGTGAAGTCTTTCCAACTGGAAAAAAAAGTTACATGTCAGTGAACCTCCTATTAACTGCAAATGTTACAAAAAACACGATTGATAACGGGTATAGCACTGTATGATGCGTGAGAAAAGTTTAGAGACGGTTCAATGCTCATATTGTGTTTGGAGAACGTAACCTACATCACAAGTAGAAAAATTTAGGTATACGACGGTCATAACGATCCTGAGCAAAAAGAACATAAGTCTCGCAATAAATTAACATGTTACGACTCTAGGGGCCTATATAGGTCAGTAATTCGATAAAGTCTAGACGAATCTATACTTACGTATCATAAATTCGAAACTATGTATTAAAAATGTACGACAGAGGAGCAATAATTCGCAAGAACTTACCGCTCTGTTCTCCAAGGAAAACGAGCTTGAATTTACGTAATGGGTTACCAAATTCGCCAGAAGCAGACATTATGAGTTTGTAAATTAATTCTCTTAACTATAATTTCACAGTAAAAATTCTTATCACAGAAAACTACATGAACAATGACAGATCAAAGCCACTCCTGCGGCACACACACGAGCGTAGCGCCGCCACGTTACGGCAGACTGACGGCGCGGCCCGCAAGCCAACTCAGCAAAAAAATATTTTACAATAAAGCTTATCTTTTTATATTGTAAATGCTAATAATTAACTGATCTTAAAAATAAGGTATAGGAAACACAACAAGTTCATCAATACTATCCAATTTATTTGAAAAAATAGCTGTTACATTGACAGCTTTGCTAAGTTTCCGAACGAAAAAACATATTATCTTGGTCTGATACCAAAAACCATGGACGTAATAATAATATAACAGGACTCATACCATTGAAATATTGTCATATCGTAATGAGGAAAGGAAATATTAAAAAAAATTAGTTCTTGTAATCAAACTAGATGTCACTAGCGATGTTTGGATCTTGTCTATGATATTCATAACAATAATCTCTGACGTAATAAAAGTAAATTAAGTATCGAAAATTAATAAATATAACATCATTTCGTGTTTTGTTATAATATCTAACTTTCAAATTTATTTTATTTTATTTGATTCGTATGTTTAAGTTGTTTATTATGTTACGCATAGAGGAACGATGTTTAGTTTTAATGTCCACATTAGTGATGAACCAACTTACACCCCCACTGGCACCAGTTGACGAGCTTGACACATGAGTCAGCCATCGTTTCGCTCATCTATATTTGTTGGAACTTTGAAAAAAGCAAAGTGTTACGCTTTGAAAAAAAGTGTTATTAGTTTATTAGTGGGTTTAGGACCCGTAAGTGCGTTAACAGATTATGGGTAATAAAACAAATAAATTTTTATAATAAACTTTTACTACCCAAAAAGTAGAGAGACATGAGATTTGAGGGTTAGGGTTCAACAGGAAACTTGCAACGTGGATCAGTATATACATAGATAGGTACAATTTTATATGGCTCTAGTCAAGAGTTCGCAATAGCTAGGTCTCGGTCATCCACTGTCCTGGTAGTCCGAGTCCGAGATGTACGGCCGAAGAGGTCCAGTGGTCTGGATGTTAGAGCCAGAAGATGGGTCCGAAGCCAGCGCTTCAGCACCCAAATGTTATGTGATCATGAAGCTTCTCAGGGTCGGGAAGGAACCCTAAATGAAATAAAAAAGATATGTCACGACTATCAGGTTGGCTGCGACATCACTGGTGTGGCGACTGATACATAGCGACATCTAATTCATCGCAGTAACATCGCCACATCAATCGATAGCGAGAAGACTAGCATCGTCGCAGCCATCGATAGCAAGACAAACTGCAATAAGTTTCAACAGCAAGTAACGAGATGGCGTTGTACCAATACAAACATCATAAATTAATAATTACAAGACATTTAGAACAAAGAAACCTACATCACACAGAATAAGTTTAATTACCAATTAACATAAATAGAACGTCCAACCTACATCGGTTGGACCGCGGTCCCCGGGCTAACTACTAGGTGTAGCTCGGAGGGAGACAATTATCCTTTAGTTTCCCTGGCCAGTTGTCTCCATCATCACTGTAGGACCTAACCTTCAACCTTTAGGTTCCTAAACTGGTTTTCAGGCGGTGCGAGGTAGGAAGCAGGAACAGATGGAATAACGCCATGAGTTATTTTGCTTAATTAATTAAGCAAAAAAAAGTGGTGTGCATTTCTAGTAAATAAAAGAAACAAGTAGGAATTTTTAAATGCCACACCCAAAAGATCATTATAGATTTTACTAGCTAACTAATAATTTGTAAGGTATTCAATGGGAATAAAACACGTCCGTTAATAAAAGGAAATTACATAAGTATTTTATATTGTGTTTGTGAGAAACACAATATAAAATTAGACTAAAAAAACAGCTAAATTGATTAGAAATTATGCAACACTTACCCAATACGGGGATATCACTTCGAATACATTAATTAAAGAAACATAATTATTTAAAAGTTAATTTTACGTTCGCAACTACAGCGGCCGCGAAAGAATCTTAAAGGACTACATATTGATGTTACGCTGCTTTCGGTTGAAATGTCTCACAAGGAGCGCGTCCATGGGTTTTGTACCTTTCATAAAACTGGATTGCGCCTGCGACGCGGAGAATAATAGCTTCGAGCAAGACATGTTGTCAAGCCCATCACCATTTATCTATATAGAAAATTATTGGTTTGCCAATCTTCGGACAACAAATTTTATAGTAATTGTTTTAAAAATAATTGTATATGTTTAATAAAATCTAAACCGTTACAGAACGTAACGACCCGATGCACCCGATACAATCACAGAGATTTTTAAGAGAGCATGACTAATCTAAGTACTTAATAAGTAATGTACCTATTTCAATAAAACTGTTGAGTATGAAGTAAATCTATTATTGACAATATTATTGTTATAACAAAAAAAGCACATACACACCGTACGAATTAACATAACACCTGGCTCGCCGTCCACCGTCGACATGCAAGTTCAGTACCTATAGTATAATAAATGTATGTGTCTTGTGATCTTTAAATTTAAAGTTTTAAACTTTTAAAGCAATTCGTTTTGTTGTTGATTGTTGATTTTTTATTAAGATAATTTAATTATGACTAAAAGATTTCATAACCGATCTTAGTTTAAAAAAAACTTAAATTCAAAAGGTCAACTTATTTGCACCTTGTAATTTGTACAAACGTCATTCTAACCAGAAGTCATGTTATTTTGTACGAGTACCTAGTATATTTGATACATATCGGGTAAATATATAGATAACAAACGGATTTTTTATTATAATTATCGTTTTTTATATCTTTGTTGCTGATTAATAAACCCCTTTTATTAATTTACCACACATAATATAAAATATCATTGAGATTTTGATGTAGTTTTGTTACTGTAAATTCAACGAACAACTACAGTAGAATCCGGTTATAACGACTGCCAAGGGACCGGTGACATTACGTCGTACTAACCGGAAGTCGTATTAAACGAAAAGAAAAAAGTTTGTTTTTTATATAACAGATATTACAGTTAAATGCCCGTTTAGGTGATGAGCAGATAAAAAAAAACTCATTTTAATCAAAATAGTTATTTATTAATTATTCAAATTATGTAAGGATGTGTAATGTACGTACATAATGTATCGCTTTCTTATATGTAAGTATAAATCTATTCTAACAACTTTACATTTAATGCAAAAAGTCTGTAATTTTTGTTTGTTTTTTGGTTTTATTTGTATAGTAGGAAGTACGAACTGCATTATATAAACGAGACATATGGCTTTTTATCGTGTCATCTTCAAAATTAGAATGTACAAACACATTTAGCACTTCTGCTGCTTTTATAGCTTCAGACACACTAGGAATAGTACAATTTTCTTCCAGGTCATCCTCATTATTATCGTCGCTATCGTGGCTATTGACGATAATATTTTAAACAGTAATAATAAGGAACAAAAATATTACGCGTCACTCATTACCTACAAATTCGTACTGCCATAAAATAAACAGTCAATTTCCAATCAGAGGCGTCGCGCGGGGCGATGGCGGAGATAGCTGTTCATTTATTTCATTCTTTTCTATGAATTATTTGTAAACACGGCAACGCTCGTCGTTGTAACCGGACAATTATGTGTGAAATTCGGTCGTTAAAAGCGGAAAGTCGTTGTAAGCGGAGTCGTAATAAACAAATGTCTATTTATTCAAGTTTATACTAAAACCAAACAAATGTCTAAACTTTCGTCGCTAAAAACGGTTGGTTGCTATATGGGAAGTCGTACTAAACGGACTACACTGTATATAGCAACTATACTAACTTACCTATTTGTTATTGTTTTCAGAACTTTTGTTAAATATTATAATGAAAAATGCCTAGACCTGCTATGGCATAAGTATGTTATTTATAAAAACAATTTCACGGTAATATTATTGCATACCGTAGCTAAACCCTACTTTTAATAATTTCACAGCATTAATTCTATCGATTTCCATAATTTTTAAAAAACTTTATCTATGCTCACTTCAATTACGTTAGTTTCCATTTTTCTTTATACAAATAAAAATAAAGTTATTTAGAGATTCGTTGGTATTACTCGAGTTCATAACAACACTGACAATTCTATTGTCTTTGGTCTAACGTCATGAATTGACACTCCTTCCTTTACCGCGATCATAAATCAGCGCCTGAGCACCATACCGTTATCGGTAATCTGACACCGGCACATGAACCACCTGACGGCTTTAAATTTTTTTTGTCGTTCGTTTAAATAGTGAATCTAGTTTAAGAATTTGAATGAATAGATGTTTCACTCTATTGAGAAAAAAATTGCCATACGCCATCGACACTGATTTTAATAGTAATAAAGGTTTTTCTAGACCTCTGACCGCGCGCTTGTATACAAGCACATGGTAAACGGTGCACTTTTTTTTAGCGCTTGCATGCAAGCGCATGGGAAACGAAGGGAATTTAAGCTGCCATCTAGTGGCATAATTTTTTAAAGTTTCTTTATTTTTTTAAATACTTCCTCATTTGTAGTGCGACGATCTCGAGTTCGGTGCTGTAACGTCACAGTCGAGTTGGAGGCCAAATACGTTCCTTGCGAGAAAACATGTTGTTTTAAATTATCTACATATAACTTGGTCATTTATTAACGGGTTTTAATTTTGTTTCAGATTTATTTTAGTTTAAATTTATTTTTTTATTACATTATGGTGACGTTTTTTTTATTCTTATCGCCTAACATCCTGACTCCAACATCTTTTCAGATAATGCCTTTAGCATTAAGTCCGCCTTTTGTGTTAGAATGCAACAAAGAATAAATAAATAAATAAACTAAAATAATATCAACATCATGAAACTTCTTCGAATGTGGCAAACACTCCGATACGGTACTGAAGCATACCAAGGGCGTTGAAGGTCATGTCCAAAGTCATGTCGGAGTTGGTCCAACTGCCGTCCACACAGTTGGCCAACGATCGAGATCACCTTGCTCGGAGCTCTGATTTCCTACCGTGTGGGCGGCTCTTTTAGGCATTAGGTCTTCTTCTTCTTGTTTTATTAATAGCTCATCTGCACATTTCGCATAATTTTGCCAATATCAATGAATAAATTAATTTCTACATGTTAAATGAAACGAATGAAAGATGGCAACGATATTCGGACTTTAGGTTAGGGTTATCTTTGACGTATTTTTTCAGGACAGAGCACTCCCAGCTGATAAGCAAGCCGAGCGAGATATCAAGTACAGAGTTTATTTTTCTCTTTCAAATTGGGTGATAATAACATGTTCGTTAAGTGAAACTTTTTATATAGTACAGTTTTTAATAACCGTGGCTATTATCATACATAATAATCTTGTAAAACTTTTTGTTGCAATAAATATATTTCAATTATTATTTTATTGCCACTGCTATTCACTTTAAATTTTCCCAATTATATGGAACCTTTTCTTTTTATTTTACGTGACTTTAATTTATCTAAATATCTTTTTTAATTAATTATATGGCTCAGTTTAGTTTATTTTTTTTATACACATACATAGATGCTAAAGTCGTTTAATTTTTTTGTGTCAAGATGCGGAATTCGTTAGTTTTCGAGATACTACTTTTTGAAACTTTTCTCATTGTTGTTTAGTAGACAATATCATATACACTGCTCCGGTTACAAGGTGAGTAGCTATAGCTCAAGTCTTATAATGTATCTGAGACAACGAAGGTACCACAACACCCAGACTCGAGACTATAGTATATAAGTTCTACAACTATATAAGTTCTTTTTCTAGTTTGAACCGACTGGGAATCGAACCCAGGACTTCAGAGGCGGTGATATCTTGAAATCGACGTTCAAAAACTTATGAAGTAATTTATCCTATTGAAAAGACTATAATTATGAGAAGAAATTCAATAAAATTCAATTTTAGAGGTGCCTTTTTAAATTGAGAATATAAAAAAATCCTGGCGAATTTAATATTTGAAGCTTACATTCAAAATGCTATATTGATTTAGGTTTATAAACAATCTTCATAAATTTTCTATAAGAGGAATATGATCTGTCTCATTGGTCTTGTTTACAATGATCTCCTTGGTTAACAGTTTTATTCGATATTCATGCTATGAGAGTGTCTAAAGATAACTAGTACACCATCTTCGGTGGTCCGCCATATTGGATTTAGAATTTCAAAAAATCTCTTTCTTAGCCAACCATTTGTTATTCAAATCATAAAAATTAACATTTTTTTTAATGTACTCTCATGATTAATGTAATATTAAGCCGCTGTAACAGCGTCCCTCATAAAGAATTAAAATAATATCTTTAAGCTAACTGTGCATTGCCATCTAAACTATATATGTGTTAAGTTTCAGATTAACCGATTGAGGACAACTGTTTTAAAATTCGGATGCAAGATTAGATGAGATACTGTTCTGTAGATGAGATACACTGCGATAAAGTTAAAACACTTACTGCTCTTCCGGATGGAATCTGTTTATATTCAAATAATCTTAAAACAAAATCGGGAATTTGTATTGGAGACCAATTTTATGCACCCATAATTTAAACTAGTTTTTATTTTTAGGTCATCTAATATCAATGATAAAAAGGCCAAATGATAAAAGACAGCGATCGATTACTTATTTTCTCGATTTGAATGGGTATATTAGACAAATTTTCAAAGTCACAATATTTTACTAGTTGACTTTATACATATGTCTGGACGTTATTCGCGAGAGACAGTTATTCACTGTCTATCGCGTTGCTCGGCTTTCGGAGTAATCAAATAACCAACCCAAAATAGAGCTGTATCGTGGTTGTATAAGAGTAAAATTCGCTTTGACTTTGTAGCGGTGTAGAAATAACTAGTTATCAAAAATATAGTTTTGATATCGGTGATTGGCGATCTGAAAGCGGTTACGTTATGTGATTTAAAAAATGGATAATGACTCATCGCTCATTTATACTATATAATATAATATAAATAAGTTTAGTATGTATAAATGTTATTTGCAAAGCTACGTGCTGATTTCGGAAAAATATTACGCTTTGGCGCTTTTGATGTATGGTATTACTTAAGTTATTAAACACAGTCACAAAGACTACAACTATAATTTAAAGGAAACAAATGAAAACTTATCGTAAAATTAAATTTATTGGAATTTTTTGTATAAATAAAATATTTTAGGTATCAATATCACAAAGCTTTTAATTAGGATTTCTCTTATATTATTTATTTAGGTTAAACCCATACATATGTACCTAGTTTCCAAGATTTATAATAAATAATAAGTGACATTTTTTGTTTTAAATCAATCTGGAAGTAAAGACAATTATACAATTTATTTATGTACTATAAATTTAATATTAATAGTAAAAATCCAATATAATTGTCCATTTCAAAACATGAGACAATGTAGATGTATGATATGATTGGCAATTTAATTTTGAAAATAAACAGAATAAGCTCAGGATGTAATAATAAATGTTTAACTAACCCACAAATACTACACTAATGCTAGAAATAATTAAAACCTCGATTTCAATGAAACCATGAAAAAGCATCCTTACATTATAATCATATAAACAGTTATTAAAAACTTTAATTAAATTGAATATTATATGATAAATGTACCAACTTGTTTGAATTCATACTTTTGACAGTTCATTCAGAATATAATACAAGAAAGTTCAGTGAAATGATTCACTATAAAAACAAAACACATTTAATAACCAAAAAAATGTGTATCTTAAACTATCTTATGGAATAAATTTAAACCAAAAAAAGACCATAACAAATTAAATAGAAGTCAAGATATGATACATCTAAGGGGCATGTCTTCTGGGCGGGAACATATTTTCTTCAACAACAATCACACCACAAAGCAGATCATAACCAGTGCGATTATGACGGAAAACAAAAAGAACAACACAGAGTGGAAACAAAAGGGAAATCAGAAAATTCTTCATGAGAGACCTAACAAGTGCGAGGCCAAAAGTAAGAGGCCGGCCAGGATAAAGTAGCACTGTCTCCTTGGGGCGGCCTTCAACTGGGATAATAGCTGAAGCAGTTACGACACGGAGGCCCAGTAAGGCTTTGCCGGGAGTAGCACCACCAGTCCGTCCAACACTTCCACTTAAACAGAATGCCTACAACAATAGAAATTTCGTTATATATTTAAAACTGTTTAATTAAGGGGGTCAACTTGGTACTTTGTAGTTTCAGCTTTTACTACTTTTATTATTATTGTTTCTTAAAATTGAGATTTATTACATTTCTTAAATAACTCCAAAACTTCAGTAAAAGAAATAAAATATTACCTCAAATATGCAAACCAGCACTCTATAAATAATTTCAAGGAATAATATTTCTGATGTTAGTTCAATTGCATATTTATAGTCATCATAATTTTCACTAAACTTATAGAAATCAAATTTTTCCAAATCACTGAAACAGAAAAAACATTTGTCAAGACAATATTTCTTTCATAGTTTGTTTACTGTATATTTTATACACTGTCAGTGTTTTTAATAGACAAGGTTAAGCATTGAAATAAATAAAATAAAAATAAAATAATAAAAGTGAAATATCATATTAATAAATAAACTAAGCAAAGCTTAACCTAGTATGAGGTTCTACAGGTGTAATATTTACTCCTAGAATATTAAGCAAACCGCTAATTTTCTGTATATACTTACATTAATTCAAACATATCAATGGCAATAAATGTGACTAGCAGTTTCAAAATGAACAGTAGAACAAAGTCAATAAATTCAGCAAAAAGTCTCTTGTAAAGAGGGGGTATCATATATTCATAGCCCCCATGTCGAGCTATCACTGAAAACAGTAAAGAAATAAGAATAAATTGGTTCAATACAAATAAATCAATTTTTGCTTCTTTATTTGTTATATATGCATTTGAAATTATTGCTAAACATGAATTTTTTTCAAACCTTCCGCTGCAGTATGATGTTCAATGGGAACCTGAGGCTCTGGAGCGTTTCGAGGAGGCTGTGGAACTTGGAAGGGAAAATGTTGTCCTTGTAATTGATAGTTGTTGTTAAGAAGTGGTACATTTGTTGGATTATTTTGCAGACCTTGAAAGGTCATCATATAATAGGGAAAACACGTTGAAAGATTGTGATACATCTGCGCTTGCTGAATCCATAGTCGTAAGGCCTGAAAATATGCCTCGCGTTCTGGTACAAATGAAGATGAATCGCCCTCTCTAGTTGATTCGGCGCCTTCTCCGGCCGGCCCGCTATTTTGTAGAAGTCTTTCAGCATCAGACATCTCTATAAAAATATTTAGTATACCATGTGACGGTAAATTTTTCACTACCGATAATAAAAATATTATAAAATATTTTTAAACATACGCCTAAACAATAACACGTCAGTTTTGTTTTGATTTGATCACGATTTCTATGCCACAGACCAATAAAAGATACTACTTTCTATGCAGTGATCCAACTCTTATATCGTAATCCGTGGCGAAAATAATCGTATGTTGAGTAAAAATCGGCTAAATAATCGTATACCAACACAATATATCAAAATTCCGCAAGTAGTTTTATACTCAGTAGAGTACAATATATCAATATTCCGCAAGTAGTTTTATACTCAGTAGAGAATTTTGATATATTGTGTTGGTATACGATTATTTAGTCGATTTTTATATATGCATTTGAAATTTTCTCTTTCGCAGTAGCGAAAGAGATAATAAAATCAAACAAAATAATCCAAACCAATCCAATTTAGCTGTTAGAGATCGCAGCACGCGTACTTGTTTCTTCCGGTGTAAGAAAGCCTTGTACTAAAAGATAATTAATATTATCTGTATAACATTGACACTATGTATGCAAATATAGGAAATTCTTAAAAGTGTACATCGTATATTGGACGGAATTATCATTGATAATGATAATATAATATATATGGTTGGGACTACTCCAATGTGTGGTGGTACTGCATTGCGGCCCAGGGCACTCCGCTTTCCTTCCCTTCGCCTTTGATCTTATTTCAAAAATCGACACAGTGCGCGGCTGTGTTAAACATAGAACGTACCTATTTATGTATTATCTATCTATAGGACAGTATTCGGACACAAAGTTCACATTGTGTCCTAAGCTAAAACATTTGTAAAAAGGTAAGTCCGCAGCTTGAACCTATCCAAACAAAGAATTGATGGTGTGCGTGTCTAAACGTAAAACGATGTACACCAGGCTGCACATCGAGAGTTTACGTCAATCTATTTTCTGCAATGGATTTTCACCTCTACTCTCAACATTGTATTTTAATGGTAAATGTTTCAAAATTTTAAGTTATTATACTTAGTCTAGTCATAAGTTCTGTTACAAAGAAAATATCCGATAATTTCTAAAAAAATAATTTTATTTTAAAGTTTTATATGTGATTATGTAGAGTGAGGGTACCAGACCCCGTGGTAGATCTCCCATGCGATGGACCGACCAAATAAAAGCAGCTGTGGGTGGCCAACTACATGAGTGCACCAGAATGACGGCCAATAGAGTGAAATGGCGAGAGAGAGTGCACAAACTAACAAAGACAAGGAACGAGACAACATGATGGCCACGACCGCTTTGTCAAGAGCGTAACGATAGAGAAGATGAAGAGTGAAAAAGTTCTGTTAACGTACTAAACTAGTTATTCAAAGTGTCCACCCTTAGCTTTAACGCACGTTTTTAAACGGTCGGGCTAATCGTCGATGGATTTACGAACGGTTTCCATTGGAAACTTGGTCACTACTGACTCCAAAGATTTCTTGAGCCACTCAATATTTGGATGATGCTTAGAGTAGATCATGTCCTCTAGCATAGCCCACAATTTATAGTCCATTAGTTTTAAGTCCGGATGAGCCGAAAGTCAATCATCTGCCTTTCTGGAGTCTGGAACATTTTGTTTAAGCCAAATTTGGGTAGTGCGCGCCTTATGATCCGGGGCTGAATCTTGTTGGAGTGTCCACACTGCGGTTTTGAATAAGGTGTTGTTGAGAGGTTTAACTACCGCTTCTAACACGTTACCTTGATACACTTTGGCTGAATTTTTCACTTACCTTAACTATAACTTTTTCGCAAAAATGGAGTTTTGTAACCCCTTGGTAGGAGACACCCTACCAAACCATTACGAATGCTGGATGATGACTTCGCTAAACTTTGGCCACTACCTTGGAAGCTTCTTTAGAGCTGTGTGCATACTCTCGATCATTTTGTTTGTTGTATTGCTCCTCGATTGTAATTTTTTTTTCATCGATTAAGGGCATTTTTCTGTATTTTTCATCCGCGTATCGAACGTCCTGTGTCCTTTAAAGTCTTGTTTGATAATCCAAGAAAGAGTCCTCGGTGGGATTCTCATTTCTCAGGAAAGGATTTTCTGCTTCCTTATGGAATTTCGACGTATTCTGGCCTTGACTGCATTAACGGCCTCGTTTGTTCGAATAGACCGTGGTCGGCCGGATCTCTCACGGTTATCAACAGACATGGTTTCAGTGTACCTTTAGATAGTACGATACACAAACATTTGGCTAATCCCTAGCTTCTTTAATATTTCAAAAATGTCGACTGGATCCATACCTACTTTGTATAGTGCGATTTCCTTTAGTACTCCACTCCATTTTCAAAACAAATAATTTCTAAACAAAAAACATACAATAATGGCGGGAAAGAAATCTATATTTTTTTTTTATCGTAGACGCTAATGTTCTAAATTCAAATTTTTTTTTTAATGTATGTAAACAGCCAGTAACAAAATTTATGGTTAGACTAGTTATAGTGACATAAATTTCTTTAATATTCTTTTTTTTTATTTGTTCGCTTATTTTCTACTGTTTAAAGAGACATGGCGGTGACTATTAACTAAGTTATTTAAGTTACAATTTTTAAATGATATTTTTTTTTATAATGGCAAGATGAAAGAACGAGACACACGGCCTCTGTTGTAACTATCTTTCTCGGCTTGGATTAGATTCTGTACAAACAGCAATTAAAAGTATACCATAATAACTACCAAAGATGAAGTTCATTTTTGTTACTTAAATTTTTCGAAGATAAAAGTCCTGATAAGTACCAAGTCTATATAGGTAGTAGTTTAGACCATAGAGTAAGTATAGCGCTGTTCCCTAAGGACGTTCCACAATCAACTATTTTACAGCTTTATAAATATAAAGATAATCTAACTTCAATAGATTTATTCATACAGCTAACACACCACGTTAATGAAGAAGTATTAAATAAAAAAAAAGCACGTCACTATATAGCGACTTTAATAAAAAAATGAAATTTGCAAAGATCGAAAAATACAAAAAAGTACAAATAGAATATTAGTTATTTATTGAGTATTTAAAATTACTTAAGTTTTATACACGAAAGAAAACCGGAAGGGTTGTCATGGAGAAATCAAGTACCGTAGTAGCGACATTTTAGTTTGTTTTCGGGAACTAGTGTTACCTACATAGTTAATACATAAAAGGTTGATACACATTGATACATGTCTGCAACACTGCCAATGTCATTTTACCATAGAGTATGATTTTACTAAATGTCAACGAGAAATAGTGACCTACCACCGGATGCGAGCAATTCGGCTAATGCGTGCGCAATAATGGTGGTGTATAGACTTGGATAGTGAAATAAATTTCTAGACTTGAATATTTGAATAGAATTTATAATAGTGGCTGATTGTGGTACTGTGACAGATTCTCTTTCAAACAATAATGTGTCTCTTGTAATCATATTATATTGTATTCTTTGTAAACTGTTGACCCTGTCGTCGACAACTTGTGTTCTGCTACTCTACCTACTGTACTTCTTGCTGTATGAAATATTAATGTGCTCAATGGTGAATTTGTAGTGGTGTATGCTAAGTATACTTGAGAAGACACCTGTTAAAAACGTTGGATTCCTAGTAAGTATTTGTGAAATCACTAATGCACTTCGTAATCAGTAAACACAAGCAATATACTCCGGTACCTTTACATTGTTTGTTTTGTTGCATACATTTTCTTACGATAAGATTCTTTTCCAAAAATGAAATCTAATGATTCAAGCGATGTTTATTTAATAGTTTAGAAGTCTTCATAGTTGAACATGTTCATAAGGCATTGTTGCGTAGTTTATGCATTTGTTAAACATTCATAGTTTTTTTTTTATTTAACATAATACTTCGTCAATGTATTATAAAAAAATATTTTGATTATGTAATTAAAACTTTAATTGTATATGAAATTTCTTGTACATAATCATCTAAAATCATGATTAATATTATTCAGAAGTAGAACTATAAATATGAATAAAATCTTTAGAACTATGAGAATGAGAAGGCATGTTTTACTAACGGTGGAAAATATGTTGTATGTGAAAACCTGTATAAAAATTGGCAAGTAAATACTTTGGGTTAAAATTATTAAAATGTCATTGATTCAAACCTAAACCCTTTTCTAATGCATGATTTAACGTAAATAATATTTCTAAAAACAAAGAAAATATTTTAATAATTACGTCATGCATTAATAGGAACCCACTTGATACTTATTTCATAAAAAATCTTATTGTGTTGGCTATGCTGTATATGCATAACATTTTCTTCATCCTTTTCTGTGCCCATTATTTGGGGTTGAGTCTCCTCATATATTTGCGCCAGGTGATTCTGTTCTGTCAGGAAGGTCCAGTGGATGTCATAAGCATAGGATATTTATTAACTTTAGAATAATCTCATTCAAAATAATAAAACAAATTTTATGTTTTTTGAGCTGTTAGTGATAGACAACTAGTAAACATGTTCAGAAGGGAACAATAAACTATTATTTTTCAGTTTTGAACTTGTTTACAAGTACAAAAAAGTGTTTGAAAGATCAAAATTGACATTGGTACCAAAATGGCTACTTAGTGTTGGAGTCAGATTATTTGCACTTATTAGCAATGTAGAAATATTTTTGTGATTGATTAATCAAATTGTTTTTTTTTTCTTATGATTAGAGTATTCACAATAATAAGTAGTTATTTTTGACTTAGGCTTTTATGTCTTTGTACCACATTCTATTCCTTTGATATCCTTTTTTACGATATTAATTGTAAATTGAGTTCATTCCATTATTGTTAATGAAACATGCTTAAAAAATCCATATCATCCCTTGCACCCAGAGATATTAATGTCTAGAATATTCATCATATCTATGTAAATTTATTTATTTTAATTTATAAATTATTGCAGATTCTGATCCCACTTATTGTCAAAATTGCCTTAAAAGACACAATGATATTTAAAACCTCAGTATCTATGATATCAATCACCTGTCTGGTTCCCCTTTGAATTTTGGATCAATTTCAAACAAAAGTTTGAGGTAAAGGCTAGGTTGAGTGCCTCTGGTTACATATAGAATTATTTCAATTGGTGAAAAAAGACATATTTGAAACTACAATCATACAAAACTTTATTTTTTTTCTACACCAAGACATTTGGAAAACTTATTTTCATGGGTAATTTAGTTTTTCTAAAATTGTAGTAATATTAGCAGGAAACTTGAACAGTATCACAGTAATGTACTTTGTTAATAGCGGAAATAATATAATATAACTACCTGGAAATCCAAAATGTTATGTAAAATAACTTTTAAATAAATAATTTATTAACATATTTGATACATATATTTCAGGGAATACATAAGACATTAAATTATACACCATATAAAAATGAGTATGTAGAGTAGTAAGTAGAGAAAATTGCATAAAAATCTGTTTTTGAGATAATTTAAGTTCAGGCAGCATGCCAAACAAACATCAATTTTCACCATAGATTTTGATTATGTATTATGTTACTGACCAAACCAGATTTCATAACAATCTTTTTTTGATTAGTTTTGCTTACGCCAAACTAGTTCTTCCTATATGGAATTAGATTAAATGGTATTGCCTAGATTAAAATTGTTTATTTTCTACTCAAATTATGCACTCCACTCAATAATGTACTTGATTTTCATCGAGAACCTAAATCCAGAATTACCTAAATCGTATTTAACATGTAGGACTTATATTGCTAGTACTACCTAAGTACTAGTCATCTTAGGCTTCCCTTCAAACGGTGGCGCCGATCGACAACTCTTACAATTAATATTGGCGACGCATGATCCTTCGTTTCCATTGCATTGTAATACACGTCACTTTATGTATATTCATTGGTTTTGCGTGCCGAGAATAGTGAACCATTTGTTGCATCGTCATAAAGTTTCCTTATGTAAGGTAATATTACACCATCGGTATAGTTACTATTTGAAAATATAACAAGCATGTTATAAAATAACTTATTAGTGCTTTAGTTATTGTATTTGTCAACTTTATCAATAGTTGATAAAAAATTTGCCTGATTTTTCTGCTTTCGGTACGGGTAACAGAAAAATCAGGCATTTTTTTTATCAACTATTGATAAAGTTGACAAATACAATAACTAAATAGATGACAATACTTTTAATGAGATAGTACAAACATATTGCTTGTTTAATGTAACTTTCGGTGTTTCCACGCATTCGTGATTAACCCCAAAGCACCTTACAGTTTTACTATTTGAAAATCAGTGAAAATATTACCAATAATGAAATCTGTTTGCTTTTTATATGCTTTTGCATAAAAATGTAATTAGGTATAATCATTGTGTTTTTACTTTATACCTATAAAAGTCTCGTGTCACGATGTACCATGTCGTTGATAAAATTCGACGTTAATGAACCGATTTTGATGATTTCAACCGTTCCTATCTATAATTTGGTCTAACTTAAAAGATAGGATTTATCTCTATAAGCGACAACAACGCGTGGCTGGGTCAGCTAATATAGGTATAATAAACCACAAAATTCACAGAATATATAACGAACATTCGTACAGCAAAGGTATATTTTTATTCAATAAGGTTTAGATAACTACATGAGCACAAAAATTTTTTCTTGGTTCTTTGATATTTTAGCCGAAGGTTTATCTTTGGGATTGTCTGGTTATTATATTATTGAATAGCAAACAATATTGCGTATATTGCTCATATCCGAAGTATAGTAGCTAGAGCATTTTTGTTATGGAAATCTTAAAAAGATAACGACAACCACCCACACCCGAGACCTGAAATTTACATTTTCTACATTAACGATTCGATTGTCTTGATAACGTAACGAAGTTTTTAAGTGTTTAAAAATTTAAGTTGTTGAAAAAAGGAAACTATACGATACGTTACTTGACCCAAATATGTAGACATATCTTCAAATGCCTTATTCCGTATCTTGACTGCGTTAAGAATATAAGACGCCAGAAATACTTAAATCAAGTAGCGATATAAAAATTCGAAAATCAAATTCCGAAAGGATGGTATCAAGCGGTTGAGCCCAATTATACATATGAGAAAGATACCAAATAAAATTATTCAATTCAATTTCTTTGTTATTGGCTCTTCTATGATTTAGCCAGCGTCAAATTACAGGTTGCAATGGTGTATTTATTATTTGTTCGGTTTGACATTAATAATGAAAAAAATACCCACATCTTGCCTAGATTATTATGTAAGACTACTACTAATTGGGCAAACAAACGCGAATCTCTTAATTTGACTCTAAATTTTCTTAAGAAGAAATAAAAACTACTAATTGTAGTACATATTAGTTTTGCTTCTCGTATCATATACTTTTTATTATGATTCTTGTTAATGTGTATTTGTAGCCCATGATTGAGAATTCTACAATAATCGTAATGGTTAGGGAAAACTTAAATAGCCTTCGGCATTTATTGTATTGATATATATTTAAAACCAACTGTAAGTTTTCTTTAAAATAAAGAATTAAATATATTTCTATTTATAGTCTCTCTATTTTCTTTTGCTGCAAATAGAGACATATGATAAATATGTCCGGCAATAGATATGGACAGCCATTGCTTTGGTCTCTATGTACTTACCAACATCGGGTCGGCTAGTAGGTGTTCTTATAGCGATTTGTAGTTATGCACAGTGTAATCCTTTGAAGCACTTACCAAGTCAGTCACTGGCCTATGTCTGTGAGTCATCAGCTATTCTTGTTACGGTCGAGATTTCATCGTTTAGTGATTAGTCACGGGCGTTGGAAGTTGTGCCATGGGGGCACGGTGACCCTAAGGTGAGGTGGACATTTTGTACATACCAATTTATATTACTAATATTTGTTACTATTCTTGACTCTAATAATTGGTTAGTGAATAATTATAATTGATTTATTATAAGCATAGTGTCATAGGTATTTTTTGTAGATTTGTAGACAACAGGAAAATATATATATATATATTTATATATATATATATATATATATATATATATATATATATATATATATATATATATATATATATTTTAGTTATATATGATAGATTATATATTTTTTTGTGATTGTAACACTTCTATTTAGATGATTATGATGTGCTTATTTTAAATACCTACAAAATTTTGTAGTATATTTAAACAATTAAAACCAAATGTTTCTCCCATTTAAGGAAAAAATACTTTTAATTTAATAATACATAGAACAAAATGCCTAGATTAATATGGTACCTATTTACATTTTCCTTTTATGAACAATCTGCTTTATTTATATATAAAATTTATCTAGGCGTATTGCGTTTACATGTTCGTAGAGTGATGAGGCGTAAAAATTATACATCTCATTGCACTCGGAAATGAAATAAATGTATAAGGATAGAGACAGAGGATGGCGAATAGTAGTGCTGCCAATATGGCAAAAACGGGTTTCAATCAAAAGAAATCATGACTGAATTTTATACGTCACGTAAATTATTCAAGATTTCGGAACACGTATTTTTTTTGTGTAATCAATAAATTACGGCGGTACGTCAAGTTAAACTGTTACATAACGTTGTCACGCTTTTGTGCGTTTTCTACAAAGT